CCCCCCGCCAGCGCCGTGGCCCCTCCCCTGGCACAAAGGCGTTCATCGACTCCCTGTGGTTCCAGGGCGCGTGTCCCCATCCTGGTGTGTCTGTGTCTACGCAGAGAAGGCAGCATGATGTCCTCACTTCCCCACACACCTGCCTCCCCTATCGAGTCCACAATTTCGGAACCGGCCTTTTCCGCCGCTGCTGACGATCGACCCATTTCTACCTCTTCCTTTTACCAGATTGACTTCCTTCTTAAAAGCGGATCTTGTTAAAGGTTCTTCCAGTCATGGGTAACTGTGGTTTTTCGTGTGTCTTAGAGTGTTATGGTTTCTTCTCACGGTGAAACCAGTCTTTCTTGGTGCATTACCACGGCTCTCTTGCTTAACTGTGAAGTTGCTTTGTTTTTAATGACTGTTTCTGCAGTTCTTCGCAGAAGATTATCTGACTTATCAGCCAGTCACCTTGCAGCGGACCGGCGACCGCCTGTTTCTAGCCGTGGCAATGGCTGCAGTGATAGCTTCCATCTATTTTTGTCTTCTCCACCTTCCCATGGTGACAGGAGTGCAGTTCCCTGGTCCACAGCGCCTTTGTCTTTTTACTTCTCTTCCCCGCCGGGAAAGCAGTCCCTGAGCACAGTGCCCAGTGCCGCAGGTGAGCTGACCCAACGATCTCATTCCCACTCCCCCCTTCAGCTCCAGATGAAACATCTCCAGCCCTGGCTTTTCTCCTCACCTCTAGATCAGGATGTGACCACCCTGTGGCCGTTTCTCCCAGATGTCCCCAGACTGGCCCCCGCTGAGCACGCTCAAAGCCCCTTCCCGCTGACTCGCTGCCTTGGCGGGAGCTGCCACTTCACACCCAGTCGAGAAAGCCAGGAAGCCTGGAGCAGCCGAGTCCCTGTCTGCTCTCCCTCGCCTCAGGGCTCCAGGACCGCCCACCCATTGCTGTGCCCTCGGCGCACACCGAGCCCTGGTCTCCTGGACTCCCACACCTGCCGCCTCACTGGGCCTGCAGCCACCTTCTTCCCTTCTCTAAACCATTCTGTATCTTGCTGCCAGAACCATCTTTCTCAAATGCAGCACTGACCTTGTCGCTATCCACCGTAAGCCCCTACACAGAGGTGCTGCAGAATTCAACTCGCTGAGTGGAGCCCACAAGGCTCTGAAAGCTCTGGTTTTGCCACTTCCCTTCCTCCAGCCTCATTTCTGACAGCCGCCCGCTCCTGTGTGGAGTAACAAGGCAGGGATGCCTCCCAAGACCCATGAGCAGTCACCCAGGCACATTTCTTTTTCTTTTTTTTTGAGTGGCGTCTCACTCTGTCACCCAGGCTGGAGGACAGATGGCACCTTCCTGGCCATCGCAGCCTCGACCTGCCGGGCTCCAGTGATCCTTCTGCCTCAGCCTTTCAAGTAGCTGGCACTACGGGCATGCGCCACCATGCCCGGATAATTTTTGACTTATCGTAGAGATGATGTCTCGCCAAGTTGCCCAGGCTGATCTCAAACCCACGGGCTCTGGCAATCCTCTCACCTCGGTCTCCCAAAGTGCTGGGATTTTAGGCGCGAGCCACCATGCCCGGCCTTACCCAGGCACATTTCTAAACCACAGTTTCCTCTGGAAAGGCAGAGAATGAATAAAGCAAAAGTGGTCATGAAAACGAGCATTTCTAAGCGCTTGCCACACGCCAGCATCATGAAAAGTGAGTTTGCACAGGAAATCTAGTTTCGTGTTGTGACAGTGGCACTATTTCGATGCCCATTTCACAGGTGAGAAAATATGAGCTCTAGAGAAGTTAAATTAACCATGGAAGGCTGCACAATTAGTAAGTGGTGGAGCTGGGACTAGAACCACTTCTGTTTGATTCCAAAGTTCTTAACCTCTGTGCTTGGCTGTAACAGACTGCATAAATCCTAGAGCAAAGGGAGCACTCAAAAAAAAAATCCTGACTACTTGCAGTTTCCCATGCTTTCACTATCTTTGTCCCTCTGTACATGACAGATAAATGATGGCAGGTGGGAAGAAGAGGATAGAACAGGACAGGCTATTGCTTCTTTGTGCCCTTCTACTTTATTCAACCAACAATGGCTTTGGCTCCTGAAGTCTGATAATCTTCCTGGAAGACAGACTTCCCGAGACCTCTTTCCCGGACTCCCTGTCCGAGTGCAATGTCCTCCCCCCTCCCTGGGGCATCTCTGAGTGGCTCTACGAGCGTTTTCACTGCCTACGGGGCACATAGTCAGCCCCTTCTGATGCCCGGCGGTCGCCAGAGCACAGCAGGCGTCTGCTGTTGAAGAAACAAATGAGGAAGAGAAGAATCACTCACGAATGTCTGCTCTTTCTTCTGCTTTTCCTTCAAAAATGAATGCTGACAAATTCCTTTGTAAACCTGACCTTCTCTAGAAATATCCTCTCATTCCCCCGCCTTGACTTTCTCCCGCCTGATGTGATCCGACTGCACTCACGAGTGTCTGGTGACTCCTAAGCTCTCCAGGAGGCTCATGCCACTCGCCCGAGGCCCCTGTGTTCCCACGCCACTGCTGGCGTACAGCAGGCCCTCACGAGCTGTCTTCCGTACGTGGATCTGGCTTACTCACTCCGGTTACTTTTATTAATAACATGCAAAGATCTCAGGATAAGACCGCCCGAGAGAAGAACAGAGAGCAATAGAAGGCAGAGCAGCATCCAGAGCAGACAGGTTCTGCCTTCTGAGGTCTTCTCTGAAATTTCCCTTATGATGGTCCTGTGTGCCGGTACGTTTTTGGTAACTAAGCTGCGACTTGCCAGTTACCGTTTGGCCAGCACCCTAGGCAAGGCATTTTCATGATCCTGAATCATTTTGTTTAGCTGGGTGCAGTGGCTCATGCCGATAATCCCAGCACCTTGGAAGGCGTGGGTGAGAGGATTGCCTGAACCCAGATGTTCGAGACCAGCCTGGGCAACTTGGCAAGACCTCGTCTACACAGCATGTCAAGAAATTAGCCCAGTGTGGTGGTGCACGCTTATAATTCCAGAGGCTGAGATGGAAGGACCGCCTGAGCCCAGTAGGTTGAGGCTGCAGTGGCCGTGAGCGGGCCACTGTGCTCTAGCCTGGGCGACAGAGTGAGACTCTGACTCAAAACCAAAACAAGACCACCATTTTATTGATTGATTGATTGATTGATTGAGTCGGAGTCTCACTCTGTAGCCCAAACTGGAGTGCAGTGGCACGATCACAGCTCACTGCAATCTTGACCTTCTGGGTTCAGGCAATCCTTCTGCCTTAGCCTTCTGAGGAGTTGGGATTACAGGTGTGAGTCATCCTGCCTGGCTAATTTTTTGTAGAGATGAGGTCTTGCTATGTTATCTAAACTGGTCTTAAACTCCTGGGCCCAAGCAATCCTCCTGCCTCGGCCTCCCAAAGTGCTGGGATCACAAGTGTGAGCCACCACCTTCAGCCATATTATTTGTAGTATAAATTTATGGCGTCCCCAAGCTGTATGCCTATGCCCTCTCTCTCATTCTCTCTCTCACTCTTTTGCTTTCCAAACACTTCCTTTTTAATACTGAGCCTCTGCATCCACTAGCCCTATTCATTCACTAATTCTTGCCCTCGACAACCTTGCATGTTTTTTGCTACAAACACTAAACTTCACCAAAGGCACTTTCTGTAATTTAAGAGAGCTCGGCCTAGCAAAATGATCTTCAGTACCTCCAACATCAGAATCACAGAAATACAACGTATCGGTCCACTCCCAGCTCCTCACCTTAGCCACTTTCTTTATGGAGGAGAAAGCTTAGAACATTACTTAAAAAAAAAAAGAATTGACGACCTTGTATGTAAGAAACTCTCTATACGCACACAGAGCAGCTCAACCTACCCTATAAAAAAAGTGTGTTCCGTTCACAAACAAGTACCAGTAAGATATTAATGGAAATATAAAGGTGACTTATAAATGGAAACACAGGAAATGAAAACAAGAAAACGTCTGGAGAGTGGTTGCTGAGGGAGCCAGGCTGTGAACCGTCATGCTGTGGGCGAGGTTTCCAGGCCACTTGATTTCTCTCACTTTACCACCGAGACATTGCTTAACTATTTACCAAGTTTGCTTCATATCCTGCCCTCGTCTGAAAAGTCTTAAAGTCTCACATACTGAATTACAGAGCGAAAAGGTGCCCATTTAAAAGGAGTGAGTGGGAGGAGTGAGCAGTTTTATTACTTCATTCAGTAAACATTTGCTGGGCACCAGTGCCAGAGCCTGCCTGGTGTCACCGAGAATACAAAGGCAGCTGACGTGAGGACAGACAGTGTAGGGGACAAGCTGGAGTCATGTGAACAAGGTGCAGTGCCCACCCCAAACAGAGACAGACCCCATGGAGATGTCCTGGAGGTGTCTCAGGGAAGTCACACTGGAATTATGTAGCAAGCAGGTCACGGCCCAAGGGTGATTTAGTGCTCCTGAAACTGAAGACACCCGAAAAAAATTTGTGATGCGGCTCAGGGCATCCCTGGGAGACCAGGGAGGTTCTTTTGGCATCTGAGGAGCAGGGCCTTTCATTTTGATGGGGGGTCGGAGGGCTTGGGGGCTTAAACCAGGGGCTGCAGGTTGTCGGAGCGTGTTTGGAAAGCTCAGGCTGGTGGCTGGGTGAATGGGTGGGGGTTCTGTGAGTCTGGTGGCCCAGAGACTGGCTGGAAGACTCTGGAATGCTGCAGGGGGGAGGGGACTGCAGCGCGGGGCAGGGGGAGTGAGGAGGGGAGACCCTGAGGTGACGGGGGGGGGGGGGCAGGGGGCACAGCCGAAAGAGACAGGACTTTG